ATATAAATAAAGAAAATTACTACATTTTAACTGCTATAAGAAACACGCATTAACTAATTTGAGCTTAGTAATTAGTAGCCTACTAGCTTACATTTGATTTACCTATTACAAAAAACGATATATCGGTCGGGCTCTAATAAAAATACACTTATATGAAGGTTTAAAATTCTACAAAAGGCACTTTTAATGTCCACAACAAATATTTTAGCAAAATGTATATTTTACTCAGAATTATTGGACTTTCTAACATTTACAGATGAAGAATATACCTGTGACATGTCAGTTATGCACTGAGGGAAACAGTGTTAATCAAATGCATTAAACAGCACGAATATATTCGCTGTTTGCCATGGTGGATCGATTTGATCCATGATCGACATTAAGGGCTGCTTAAGAATAAGCATGCACAAATTAGTGAGATTGTGTTTATGGAACCGCTTTAGCCCCGATTGATTTGTTAGGTTATTTCAAGTCAGGTTTTGGACTTTAATCCCAGTTTTTTTCTCGGGTCTCCGTGGTGTTGTGATTCACCATATTCACGCAGCAGCAGCGGTGATGAGAGAACGCGTTTGACAAACAAATACATAGATAACAGATTATTGGTCACTTTCTAAATAATAAAAGTATAGCGCATCCACTAGTAATTATATATAAATAAATCGTTTTTTACTGATGCAAATATGTTAGAAACGATGCATCGCGATACAAATGCCGACTTGTAGCCGATACACACTTTTTAAACCGATGCATCGCATCGTTAACTTTTTATGCCGATGCACCGAGCGAATCGGGGAATCTTCCCATCCCTAGTATGCATATTACCGGTATAGAAAACCGCTGGCCGGGGGAGTTACCAAGTAAACTTGCTTGTCTTAAAAGGACAGTTCACCCAGAGAGACATCGTGAAAAATATATATTGAAGAATGTTGGTAACCAAACCATTTTGATGACCACTGCCTTCCTTTGTATGGACCAGAAAAAGACAGACATTTCTCAAAAATCTTCTTTTCGGTTCAACAGAAGAAAGAAAGTCATGCAGGTAAAATAAGTACATGATTGATGACAACTTTCATTTTTGGGTGAACTATCCCCTTTAAAGAGACTTTGATAACATCAAAAATAATTTACTAAATTTCATGGGTATGAACAATAAAACGCACCATATTATAGCAGCTCACTGGTTACACAAACTGAACACAAAGTTCATGTTGTGTGTCACAAATCAAGGGGACAGCCGTTACAGGGGCGTTACAGCGCTGTGGTAAGATTCAGCTGCACTTGTGAGCATACAAGGAAAGTTGTGAGGTGCCTCTCACCTCACTGTAGCCTGGTGTTATCTCATTCTGCAGCACCATGAGGACTTATCATCCCCATCTGCTCTTGGTATAGTGGAAAGGAGAGCACAGGTTTATCGCTGTCTCTGATATGCACAGATAAGGCCTTGCCTCCTGTTTAAACAGCTCTACAGTTAGCACTACCTATGCTAACTTAACAACACTTAACCTTCTTCCACCTGTCTGCCATGAAGAACAACCTAAAAACCATTGCTTTAAATTTTTTTTACAAAAACGACAGTCCAAACTCTAAAAGAACGTGGATAAATTGCAGTGTCTTTTTTTCCTCCATTTCAGTGCTGTGCATGTTGATTATTTTCTTTTTGGCAGGTTGCTGAAATATTTCTGTAATCATTTTCCATGAATCAAAGGGCCACAAACTGTTTTTCTTGGCAAAAAAAAAAAAAAAAAATGTCCTCCAGTTTGTCAAAAAAAAGAAAAGAAAAGCTGCTACGGTACTTCGATTTAGCTCCTGTAGGGAACTCTGGGTTATTGAAAAACAAATAAACTCCTTCATTTAGGCAACCCTCAGACATACATCTACCCCAGATATTACAAGATTACTTCAGTGGTCTAGTTAATAGGATAGTCTTGACACTCGCATGGTTTTGGAAGCGATGCACACATCATTCAGAGCTTTATGACAAAACCCAGGGCAATGGGGAATGAATGCAGCAAGCTACATTTATGCAGGAAGCAAGCACTTACTAATGCGTTCGCTCTCAAATGCACACACACATCCACACGCAGAAAGGCTCGTGCCCAATCTGGGAATAATTACAGACGGTTAACTTGACCTGTTTGACCTAAATGAACTCTCAAACAGAAATATTTTTCACAGAGAGTGCTAGAGATGGCTGGAACCCTGGCACAAGATGATGCAAAATAATCTGTAATTAGTAACAAGAGCTGCCGCCCCGTCTGCTGCAAGCCGTCAGGACCGGTGATGAAAAAACCTTTAAAAAGGAACTAAACCTTACCATGGCAAATCTGACACTGTCGTTCCTTTTATTAAAAGAAGAAGATCACTGAAACTTCAAAAGAAAACGTAGATAAGTACATCGATATCTCTAGCATATAAATAAGAGTGGAAAATCATCAGAATTTTTATGATTTGAAATTACATTCTAATCTATTATCACTGTCGTGCATCTTTTAGATTGTCATTTTTTAAAGCATTGAAATAAATACTGTGAAGATATGATGCAAATTTAAACAGACAAACGTGCCCATCTTAAGAACCCTTAATGTACTGAATCAAACAACAACATGGATCTCAAAAATAAGCTGGCTGCTTAAAAAAAAATCACTGCAATTAGATGTCATTGGCTGTTTCAGCAACTGCTGCATCCTTTTTATGCCAACATGCCAACGCGCTTACTTCGATGATTCACACAAGCACAGACAACTTTTAAATTAACACGGCTTGTCAATTATTCTGTTCTAAGATAAACACCAACCTTAAAGTTCACAAGGTTGAACAAGCATTTTTCACTCAGTGAATAATGAAGGTAATTACGAGGGATTTATTAATGCCATCTTGAGCACTTCCAAAGACACATGAATATTTGGACTGAAACTGAATCCTCAGATGAACTTTCACCGTTGTGCATTCCAACAGATTAAGGACGAACGCTCAAACCAGTTTATTCTCAATCCTGGGCCTGTCATTAAGAAACCCGCAGAAAGCAGATCTGCTTAAATCCTGTAAACAACAGGCACTAAAACTCACAAACTATCAAAATAACGTTGTATGTATTGTGCAAGCAATGGCTTTTATGCGTTGCATTTTTTACTATGAATATTGTTGGCTCTATAACAAATTGCTCATGTTCCTCTGTCGCTTTGGATAAAAGTGTCTGCTAAATGAATTGATGTAAACATAAAATATGTTTTGTCCAATTCTACAATATTGTACAAATAAGTTTAACATGTGAATCCTGCAATCTTTGTCTAGTCGACAGCAACAAGGGTGTGGCTGCGGGCTTCAAAAGCTGATAACGTCTGGCGTGGATTTCCTCGCCTCGTCCCAGCTCCTTGCAACACCCCCACAAGTCACACTGACAAGAACCAGAGGCCAGCCAAGTGGCCAAAAGGTTACGCTGTGGAGGTCGGCACAGGTCCTCCACGTAGACCCTCATTTCCTGGGCTGGACAGTCTGCTCTACTCATAAAGCTAATAAGGCCCTCCTTGTCCCGGGTGGCTGGGGCCCAGGCTGGCCTACTCATCACTGGCCACACCATGGGGGTCAGGGGGGCTGCTTCCCATTAGCCTGCCCCCTCTCCAGGTGCAGCTAATGGGCTCAGCCAGAGCCTCTCCAGGACCACTCGACAGCCACCAGCGCAGGCCTGGAAGTGATCAGCACCCAACGCCTGGGAGCCGCGACAAACAGACGGCCCACTTAAAGGAACTAAGTTAAAAATAATAATTTTTCTTGACTAGCCTGGGAATGTCTCATCTTGCTGTGTGCAAATGTAGCGTTTTACATGTTACAGTAAGCAAAAAATGTATGCACATATTGATCAAAAGCCTACAATTAATTTTTTGCCCATTTTTTTCCTTTACCAAAATAACAGATAGGCTAAAACAATGTTTTTATTATAAATTAAACAACTATTGGCAAATTGCCATCTAATTTATACAGCATTTTCTGTATAATTAACCGTATGAATGATACTTTATGCAATATTTTAAGCCGTTTCAAATCGTTATAACAAGATTTTGTATTGCAACTTGATTGACCTATTTATCCTTACTCTTTTCAAAATATATTTCAGCTGAAGAGCAATTTTTCTTAATAGGGGGAAAGCAAGAGGAAAACATATATGTGCGTAAATCAGCTCTGCAATCATTCACTCTCATATCCACCGCAGGCAGAGTGTTAAGCAAATTGACCTCCAGCATGAAAGATGATAAGCAATCAACAGTTAACCATTATGACTCATCTTCCACTAACATTTCTCTGCAACAAAGTTTTTTAATCAAAAGAATTTCTAAAAATGGGCACCTTGCGGTTTTTCGTTTCACAGAGCGCATTAAACTAATTGAATTAGGGACCTGCCTTTGCACCAGGGGAGGCAAAAAAAAAAAACACTTTGGAAGAGCATGCATTTATGGCAACCGAAAAACAAAAACAGGAGCTTACCTGTGTTGCTCTATGGTCTCATTGTCAGGCAGTTCGGCGCCACACACGTTGCAGCGCTCGTTCGGGCTGCGGCCGTCGGGCTTCATCCCAGCAGCTAACTCGCCGAGCTTGTTGAAGAACTCCCTCTGGATGAAGCTCTGAGGCAGCAAGCCCCCGTAGGCACTGAAGTCCATGGACATGGCCAATGCTGGGGACATGTGCAAGGATGAGGCCATAGAAGCGGGCATAGAGAGCATTGCTTCGTTCTTGTGGTTGGGAGGAATGCCGTAGAGTGACGCCAAGTGCTTTTCGGTCATCCCTGCCATGGCCTCCAGGCCCATCTGGTTGACCTCCGCCTGCTGGTCGCCCACACCTTCCTCCCTGACATAGTGCAGTTCACGGGCACTAGTGATCACGCTGCTCCTGGTAGGGGTGCCGGGCCCATCGCGGTTCTTGTCAGGCTCTCCGCTGCGCTCACCGTTGCTGGAGGCACTGGATTCCATGGCTTTAGGGTTCTCGTGTTCTCCGCTCTCATCTACTTGCATCATCTCCGTCTTGATCTCTCCCATCATGGGGTGGGAGTTGCCATGCAGGGGCTGTTCGGCACCCGCGCCGGGGTGCATGGTGCTCTGCAGGAGGGACTGGCCGATGCTCATCAGGCTGTCCACGGCTGCTTTGGTTGGGCTCATGGTGGAGAGGCCGAAGGAGGTGGAGACAGAAGGACTCTGATCCACCATTCCTGGCAGCATCAGTGCTTGCTGGGCAGCCGACATGTAGCCGCCTTCCTCCACGGAATGCTTTTTCGGGTTCCTGCCATGCCGTCCCTTGCGCTCCTCCTCATCTTCTGCGCCTCCGTCGTTCATGTTGACCTCCGTGTCATTTTCATCCGAGGACTGAATGGTCTCCAGTATCTTCAGGCATTGCTCCTCCAAGTACTCTATTTCTAAGATCTCTGCTGCGTAAAGCAGGTCATCCAGATCCTCCACTTTAGCTTGGAGCATGGCAGTGTAGGCATACTCCAGAATCTGCTGGAAGGTCTTTGGTGAGAGAAAGTCGAGAGTGTAATGTTGGCTGTTCCGGTGAAAGAGGATCTCGAACATCTTACTGGCGCAGGCCAGCACGGTCCGGTGAGCGTGGAACTCCTGGCTGTCCACCATGATGACCACGTCGCACAGCGTGCCGGCCAGGCGCATCTGATTAGCCTTGTGCAGCAGGGCATTGGGGTGATTGGGGTTCTGGAGCTGGATCATACCCATTTTAGTCAAATCCATAACGTCTCTGAAATCCACACGGCCAACTCATGAGTCTTTCTTTCCACGTAGCAGTCTGTTCAGTTATCTTTGTAAACAAGATAAGGTCAATCTAGAAAGAGATGAAAGAGAGACCCACAGTTAGATGCAGCAAAGTCGCAATGTTTTTTTGTTTTTCTTTCCTTGGTTGTTGATTTTCTTTGTTCTTAAATTAACAGCCATCATTCTAATTATTTCAGTATTAAAAAAACTCATAATAATATCAGTACGTTAGACTTCAAATGTACTCTGTACTGTACAAAACACAAATCTATCATTATTTAACAGCTAAAAACCTTTTTAACAAAGGATCCCTAAAAAACAAACGAAAAATCCGTCAAAATGCACAAAATAAAACAAAACGACAAGTGGCCCACATGAGAAACGTGTAAACTTGGCTTTAGTGCTAGTAAAGGCTGGCAGTAATCAAGCCTTTGTTTCAATGTGTTCGAGCTCGCCTCACAAAGCCCATCAACAGCCTCCTGAAATGAAATGGCATCTTATTCAGTATTCTCATCACAGACAGGGATACTGAGCGGAGCATGGAGAGTGAGGCAAGCTGTTGCCAGGAATAGTTGGAACAGAGGATGACACAAAACAGCTCAGAGCTCCTAAAACACCAAAATGCAATTTTTATTTTAAATACACTTCCATGTATCATATGTAAATTGTATGATGTTATTTTTTCCTGCTATATCAGATATATACTACAAAAATAAAGCATCAATGCACTTACAATGTAATCTTTTAAAAACAAAAAACGTGCAATTTTTAAATGAACAATGTTTTTGGGCTGGGTTTTTTCATTATAATGTAAAATATTTAATGTCATAATTTAATACTTAATAAAATACATTCTATCTATAATTTAACGTTTAAACTCTGCTTTGTACAACAGCCTAACACTATATTACAACAACAAAAATCACCGTCACTTTTGAGTGAACACAGAGGAAAATCCACCACTAATATTTGGTAACAGCAGCGAGAGGCAGCCTTTCCTTTAATAACATTATTACATATATTTAAAATAGTACCTAGATAAGGAACGGATGATTTACTCAGACATTTAATATTTCCCCCATCTTATTTGATCAACAAAAAGCCTCACCGGAGAAGAGCAGACTAGTTTTTATATCAAACAACACTATGATCTTAGCGGTGAATGACGGGCTTTTTCACTGTGAATACCGTTTCAGACAGCAAATAAGCGAAAGTTAGGATAAAGGACAACAGAAGAGAAATATATTCGAGGGATTTCACGCTGTTTAAAATCTACAAAGTACAGGAAGGCGAGTAATAAGTGAGAAATGAGTACGTTGTCTTTGAAGTGCAGTTAACTGATGAGACGTTAGCAATAATGACGCCAGTTCACGCACGCAAACTGTACAACAACTCAAACAAAAGTCAAGAAACGATCAATACATATTCGTATTAGCCAACTACTGCTGTGATAAGCGTTATCTACCTCATATATGATAAAAAAGACCGATGAAAAGTCCAGTCAGAGCTCATTTGACTGACCAATACATGATTATTCGACTGTTCACACGTGAATCAATTGAAGTTAAAGAACCCGTTTGTTATTTTATTACATACACAAACACATCGGGCGAAAAAGCAAAATAGCGTTTCTGTTAAAATAATCAATTTCAGTATCGTTATAAAACAAATTTAAAAAAAATTAAGCAAAGGTCATTTCACTTTAAAAATCACAAACAATACAGTTCGGTTCATTTTGAAAGACAGTGACACGCACCTCCACGGTGGCCCTGATTAAGTAACCAGACTTACTGGCAAGCAAAATAATAATCAACAAAGCCCCGACATTTGTTTGTTCTACGACATACTTCTTCAGTTAGAACATATTCAAACTCTCTGGGTGTTCAATTTGAAGCAGTCACGCTGAGAATAAAGCACATGGAAGCACGTCACTGTCTGGTGCGCGAGCAGACCTCACGTCCCCCGAATACTAAAACACACGCTTACGTCAACATAACATCTCCACATGTGTAAAGATGAACATAAACAGCCATATCCATCAGGTGCCCCGAGCCTGCACCACACTGACAGCCACACTTGTACTTTTTCGGTGCACTCTCCCAATTCACCTTCACTTGAAGCAACAGTAGAAACACCGCAACTTGATGTGATGCTGAGCGCAAACACCTCTGACCAACACAACGCGGATCATCTCTTAATGTGAACATTTCCCAAATTGAAAACACACGCAGACAGATGGGTCAGGAGCTGTGGGTGTTTTAAAGGTGCGCGCCTGTACTCACCTGTCTTGCACGTTTGGCTTCCGAGCGTGCGGTTATTAGGACTGTGGCATAGTAATGCGGTTCACAGTCCCCGCTCTCTCTCTCTCACGCGCACTAACTCCTCTCCGCTCGCGGCTTAGCAAATCAACACGGCGGTGACGTCAGCGCACATCCTCGCCGGAGTCCTGACAAACACTGCTAAAGTGAGACACCTAGGGGGCTGTCGAATATAGGCCAGCGTGTCTGGGACACTATCTATCACCGCGTTTGGACTTTAATCATTAACCTTCAAGCATCATCACCTTTGCTATTACTTCTACAACCAGGTAACTTCTCAGGTCTGCAGCGAGCGCGATATGTAAATTCGTATTTAGAACCCCATGAGTGCAACATCCACTATTTTTACACATTCTTGAAACCTATTTGTTCGTAAACGTAAATATGTTATTTTTTCTGTAATTCTTGTCTAGCTGTGAGTACCTGGAGCTTTTGCTACTATGCCAAATTCCTTGTGTACTTGACCCAAATAAACTAATTCAAACAAACAAATAAAACATGACAATCATGATCTAACTCAAGTTCATTTTATTAAGTGTGATGTTCCATAAAGGCAGGCTATTTTAAGCCTTTTTCAGAATTGAATTTATCATCGGAGAAATTATTCATACTAATTAGCTACTGAATGACAGACACATAAGATTTCAAGACCCAGATGAAAAAAGTACACTTCCATAATATACTTAAAGTGCTCTATTTTCGCTCACTCATTTTGTGCTTAATATACTAAAAATGATTCTTTATACTTCTTAAGATAAACTTAAGATCATCTAAGTGTATACTCAACTGTGCTATTTTGGGACACCATGAATGCAAACTAAAATGTGACCCTGGACTACAAAACCAGTCATAAGGGTCTATTTTTTTTTTTTATTGAGATTTATATGACATCTGAAAGCTGAATCAAGAAGCTTTCAGTTGATGTATGGTTTGTTAGGATAGGACAATATTTGGCAGAGATACAACTATTTCAAAATCTGAGGGTGCAAAAAAATAAAAATATTGAGAAAATCGCCTTTAAAATTGTCCAAATGAAGTTCTTAGCAATGCATATTACTAATCAAAAATGAAGTTTTGATATATTTACGGTAGGAAATTTACAAAATATCTTCATGGAACATGATCTTTACTTAATATCCTAATGATTTTTGGCATAAAAGAAAAATCAATAATTTTGACCCATGCATTTGTTGGCTATTGCTACAAATATATCTGTGCTACTGATGACAGTTTTTTTGGTCAAGGGTCACAAATGCACTTTTAAGATACTCTCTTTGTATTTAAAAATGTATTTAGCCACCACTTGTAGTACACTTGAGTGTACTAGTGTATGAACGATGGTTTAAGTGTACTACAAGTGGTAACTAAATAAATTTTTTAAATACAGAGATAGTATGTAAAAAGTGCATTTTAGTTCATATTCATGGTGTCCCAAAATAGCACAGTTGAGTATACACTTAGATGATCTTAAGTTTATCTTAAGAAGTACTAAAGAATAATTTTTAGTATATTAAGTACAAAATTTGTGCACAAAAATAGAGTACTTTAAGTATATTATGGAAGTGTATTTTTTCACCTGGGGAGGCTTTAAAAATGAAAAAGATTAAATGGATTACTCGTTTGACTGTAAATGTTTTATTCATTAATTTATTGTGAATTTTTTATCTATTTAAAACTTTAAATGTTTAATTAAATGTTTTATAATCAAACAACAGTTCTTGGTATAATATAATGATATATGCTTAATTTAACTAGAATTATACTTAATTAGTATTAGTTAAAATAAATCATGCAGGCTACATTTCATTAAATTGTGTTGACAAACTGAACATTGTCATTCTACAAATTCTATTCCATTGCCATCAGCTACATTTGTCACTTGTATTTTCAGTGCAATGACAGCCTAAAATCTGCACTAGACCCTGTAAAACTTGAGATGGGAGATCATAGAGTGCCATCACCTTTGAGCTGCATGCTGTGCTGGCTTACTTAGGGATAAAGACAAAGGCACTGCCCTAATCTCCATCTAATCCACATTTTACTGGAGAGGACTCTGATAAATCCTAAATTATACACTGATTTTTTTTTAATAATCAAAAGCACAAGCTAACACAGTTTAAAAAAACATGAAATTACATTCGTAAATTATGTATAAACGATATATGTTTACATTAAAATTATTCTTTGAAATCTAACTGTAAAACTTAAGCTCTTGGTAAAGTCATACATGTACATTCATGCATTATAAACATATGTGAGATGATGTTCTTTAATGAAAGTCACATTTATGTGCAATTCATTGGCCTTGGCTCTGCAGGAGTGCAGGAGACACTTATTATTGAATTTGTGTAATTATTATAATTACACATACATATTTTGATGCATAACACCATGAAATAGGTTCTGAATGCACTAAGAGTATGTTTGCTGCCTATTTATCCACATAGTACATATTCACATATATAAACCATCATTAGCGATGTACTGAGGTAGGTAATGACATACACTGGAGGTTTTGCTCATGAGCTAACAGTGGATCTTTGTGAATTTCGCTCAAAGCTTTGACTGAATAGGCTCTTTTTACACTTGTATAATCCTGGGGGTGTCTTATGCATTAAGGGCCTGCCCCCATGACCTCTGACCCTTACCTCTGACCTTGGCTGGATTTCTCCTGTACAAAATGCCCCTCCTTGTGCATGGCTAAAAATTCCTTTTGAGACTTTTCATCATGTAGGTATCTATTCTATCATGCAATTCGTCCATAAAGGCTATCATATCTGAGCCAACTGCAGGTTTAGAGTTAGGCTTAAATGGATTTAAGACACAGTAACTCCTAATTATATTATTAGGTACTTCATTATGATTTGAGCCTTATAAGTAGCACATGGAACAGTTTACAGAGCAACTTTAATTTTGTTACATTTTTGGTACGATAAATCTTAAATCTAATTATAAATGTCTAACATCACACTTTTGGCTGCATTTACAGCATTAAGTTTTTTTTTCATTAAGAAGAATGGGTGACATTCTCTTTGTTAATGGATTGAAATAGTCATGTTGACAGAGCCATTTGCTCTACTGAGTGCATATTTGCCTTCACTCTCCCTCCAGCCTTATACCTGTTTGGTTAGATGACAAGGTGATCCCTTGATCAATACTGATGTGGTATCAGCAGGCTGAACAATAGAACTGTGCTGGTAAACCTTTACTGGTTTCAAGTGACAAGAATCTCATTCTCAGAGGTCACAGATCTCACAATCTCTGACTGCACTCTTTGTATTAGGACAGGCACATTCCAGTCACTGATTACTATTTTGTATTTGCAAAATGAGATGCAGACTTAGAGGAGAGCATGGATAATTGTAACACTCCATAAATGTAATATCAGTGGTTAATTATATCAGTGTAAGCATGTATACGATAAAATTTTCTATCTCTTCCCAGACTATTGGAAAGTTTCAGCAATAGTTGATATGTTTTTAAAAACACCTGTTTTGAGTTGAGTTAAACTTTTACGTAAATTTTTGTGTACATTTAGAGTTTTAAATTTTATTTTAAATAAATAAAATCATCCAAATAATGTTGCACCTTCAAACATTATGTATGTTTGTATTGTTTTTGTATCAATATTTTTAAAAAACCTCTTTCATCATTGTGCAAAAAAACAAAAACAAACAAAAAAACAGATGACAACTAAAGACATGACTATTAATATTAATAGATGATTTTAAACTGCTGTTGTAGTTCCCTCATGTTGTTATCCATTTAACATGTACATATGAAATATATACATTTACATTATATAATTTGTTTTTATTTAAACAAAAATAATAAATTAATTTATTGAGAATAAACAAAACAAAAATATAAATCTCACCCCAGCCTTTATTTAGTTGTAGTTTCAATGTATCTGATTCGATTACATTTAATTGGCAAACTGAAATTGATACATTTTATGAATAACTAAGAAAAAAGTGTTATAATTATCCTTGCTCTCCATCTGAGTTACAGATTTAGTTACTGTCATCCTCTCACATCATAAGTTGATCCACTTTCCTCGTAGCCGTCTCTCCATTACTGACCTCTGCCTCACACACCTAATCTTCAATCTTCTTTTCTTCCTCATAACCGGCTCATCTGATCCTAATGACTGTTAATACCAAATGATCTGAATCTGTGAGGTACTGTGGGGGTCACCTCAATATTTCATACACTGTGTCGTCATTAATCACAAGAGCTTTAAATAGAAAAACGTCTCTTGATTACTGTAATTTTAAAAATGGTAGTAAAACTTTGATTAAATTTAGCACGGGGTAGGGCATCGTCACTAAAATGAATGGAAAGAAGGTGCCAAGTCTACTACAGAACTGTCAGATGAGATGCGATGTCCATCATAGGTGCACTTTTCCATCAGGTTAGTGGGTGGTTTGCTTCCTTTTATGGGAGCGGCCCGGGCCCTTAACCAGAGTGTTCTAATGAATACTAACCCCTTTTAAAAGGCGCTTCCCTGCAGTTTCCATTGGGTGGAAATTTTATAAACTTTCTTTCAGGTCTGAAGCAGCTTAGAGAGACTATTGTCCCCCTGTTGAACAAGACCTGGACACTCAAAACAGTTTAAACAATGCCAATGATGATTAGTGACAGGCCTGTCAAACAAACAGCGCTGACTAAGGCTCGCGCTCACAGCAATCCTGTGACTGAAGAAAATCAAATAAAAACCACACACTCCATCGTTCAAAGCCTCCAATAAGAGGTTAAATATATACTAGTATGAAAGAGCTCTAACCTGTATAGACCAGTGCCCGATTTTTGAACTACTACATTCGGTTACTGCCTCAGATTGAGTGTACTTTGTGCTTACACTCACTAATTGGAATGAATTGAAACACATGTGATGAAATTCGACAGTATTTATTTTTTGCAAACAACACGTCCTGGAGCTTTTCAAAAGGGCAACGAGGAAAACTGTTTGTTAGTTGTACAGATAAACATTTGCGATGACGTCTGTCGGAGAATGCCTTTCCTCTGTGTAACAGTAGGGATGCAGGATGGGAGCCCGGGG